GGGCCAGAGACTTAAGGTCAGAGATAGACTGCGGGGTGGCCGGGAGGCTGCATCCGTGCTCTTCAGATAGCAGGTCCTGAACTGGGGGTGGGAAACAGACACCTCACGGGTGAGTTCTTCAGGAACGCTCGGTGCAAACCCTTGTCAATTCTTCCTGGATAACCACACGCACGTTCCCCGCCTCTAAACGCTTCTATATTGCACTGGGAGTCCACCTCAAGTGTCAAAGTGAAAGTGAATAAAACCCGGGGAGGGGGTGAGACGGAGAGGAGGAGCTCCTCGTGGACTCAGAGCAACGACTTCTTTAAGAGGGTAATAATTGCTCTGTCAAGTACTTTACTTATTTTTAAAGTTTATTTCTGTACTTCATGTGTGAGACAAGAAAGAGAGAGACAGAGACAGAGACAGCATCCCAACAGGATCCTGACAGCATGACCCATCCCAACCTTTGGCCAGCTCAGATCATGGCATGGCTGTCTGGGATACTCAAGAGGGCTCTGGACTTGAACTGGGAACCTTCCCACTTGGGTTTGCTTTGCAATGTGTCAGCTTTCCCACTGCTCCATCACCTGGACTCTCGTCTAGTATTTTAAACCCTTTGATACCAACTCACTCACTGAGACTTAAAAACTGAAAGAAAAGGAGCCAGCAGGTGGCATGGTGGTTAAGAGTGCTGGACTCCCACATGACCAATGGTAGTTTGAGTCCCAGACCCGGTGGCTTTCACTTTCCCTCCCTCTCTCTGTCCCTCTGTGGTCAAATTAAAATAAATAAAGTTAAATAAAATAATTTTATTTAATTATTATTAATAAAATATTAATTTTAAAAATTGAGGGGAAAAAACCCTGGGAAATATTATTTATTTCCAGGTCATAGACAGGAAAATGAGATGCAGAAGGGGTGAAAACATTGGCCGGTGGTCACGTGGCTGGGAAAATGACGATGAGCCCCAGCCTGAGTCCCCAGTTTCCCACAATGCACCACCCCGGCAGGTGCCACGATAATTTAGGAGATGACTAACATTTAAAATACGTTTTGTATTGGGGCCAGCAGCTGGCGTAGTGGTTAAGGCACCGCATTCCCACGTGGCCAATTGTGGTTTGAGTCCCAGACCCGGCCACTTGAAACTCACTCTGGGCATGTGTATGTGCATGTCCGAAATCCCAGAAGGAGAATGGAGGAGAAGGGACTGTCGTGTGGCCATTTCCTCTAAGGGATGATTTCTCACTTTCTCTTTCTCTCTGTCTCTCCATTGATCAAATACACCCAATAGCAAAAATCTCTCTCTCTTTCAAAAAGGAAAAAAGTCTTGTATTTTCACCGTGTGTGTTCACTTGAAGGCGTTGCAGAAGAGTATCCGTGACGTAACAAACCAGCGCGTCCGTAGATGCGGCTACTTAGGACGAGACCAAGTGAAATGAATCACTTGAGAATTGATTGAAAGGAAACATTAAGCAAGTAAAAGCATCCCCGTGATATAAAGATCATCAATATTTCAAGGCAGGTGTGATGCCTACATCTTGGGAGAGGGAACAGGACGAGGGCAAGGTGCTCCTGGGCTCGATCCTCCACAAACCTCCGAGTTGCAATCATGGTCAAGTTCGGAACGAACCCTGACCACGTGCACAGGGTGGGCTCACAGCAGGGTTCAGACCAGCGGAAGTGGCACGACTAGTGTGAACACCTTGCCCGGGTGAATTTCTGCTGACAAAGTGCCAGTTGTCTAGGGAAGGTTTTGATAGAAAAGTATTTATTTCGTTCAGTTTCAAAAACGGTCGACTTAAAAGAGCACCATTTCTAATGACCCTCCGTGCCACTTACAGATATAAAGGGATATCCCACGTGCGGCGGGCCTGGTTTAGAACGTCGTGGGGTGAGCACCTCTTTTACCCCAAATACACTTCGGCTAATATCAAGTCCAAGTTCGTGGCTTCTTTGGCAGTACCACGCCATGATGAGTAATGCGAGAACACCATCTCCTAGAACCACCATGACTTTTCCACGTGTGCTGCCGCTGAAACGCTAACCCCCCCCATCCCCCCATTTACGTTAGGCTGGGCTCAAAATTGCTTGAGAGGCCCCCGGCCCCTGGCAGTGTGGACATGATCTGACCACAATCCTCCGCCTCTTCTCTGCCGCCTTTGCCACCCCGGGGTCACCCCAGGGCCCCTGCCCGTGCACTTTCTGACTCTCAATATTTGATCTTCAAGCCTGGCGTGGTTTTTGTTTGTTTGTTTTTGATGTTTTAGTTTATTTATTGAGAGAGAACGATCCCTACCCCCACCCCCAACAGGGTCTTCACCAGATCTTGGCGCACACGCACACACATGCACCTGGCATGTCCAGGCAGACCTCCACGCATGATCCTGTGACCTTCCCGTGAAAGTGCAGTATCCCAGGGCACTGAGGTGATGCTACCCCAATGTGGCCAGCTTCATGTTGGGATTTTTAAAAATAAACTGCTAGGGCTGGCAGGTGGCGTCATGGCTAAGGCACTGGACTCCCACATGGCTGATTGTGGTTCAAGTCTCGGACTTGGTGGCTTGCTTTTTCACTTTCCCTTTCTCTCTCTCTCTGGTCAAATTAAAAAATAATAATAAATAAGATAAAATAAATCATTATTTTTAAAACAAAGTAAACTCCTATAGGGTGTGTGCACTCTGTCCACAACCCCAAAGAGGGCCGGCTGAGCACGCTCTACCCGAGGCTTCTGCTTAGAGCTGAGCTCCAAATACTAAGTGTCAGACGCATGCTAGCTGCTGTTTATTCCCCTGGACGGTTCCTGAAAGATCATTCTTTCTCATTGGAATCGACACGAAGGAGGAACAAAATTGCAATCAATAGAAGCTTCTTTGAAAAAGGCACATGTGCCATGATAAAATGATTTCAGCAGCTATGGGATTTTTTCACCCCCCTCAGATCGTAGAGGCCAGGAAAAGGAGAACCTAAGGAGGGTGGAACACACCCTGAGAGGTGCTGAACTAGTGATCAGAGCAGAGGGTTCCTGAAAGGAGAGCCCGGCGTAGGGACTGACCCACGCGGGACCCAGTCGTTAGAAAAATCCTCTCCTGCACTGGTTCCGAAAGCGGAGTCCCTGAACCAGCGTGGCATCACCCGGAGGCTTTTCAGAAACACGCATTTTCAGGTCCAACCCCAGAATCAGAAACCCTGGGGTGGGGCCTGGTAACGTGTGTGTGTCTATTTTTTAAAGATATATTTATTTAATTTTATTTATAATCATTATTTTTTTAAGCTTGCTACAGGGCATATGCCCTCATCCAGAGAGAGACAGAGAGAGAGAAACAGAGAGAGAGGGAGAGAGAGGGAGAGAGAGGGAGAGAGAGGGAGAGAGAGAGAGAGCCATCTACCAGGTGTGAGACTTGAACTGTGGTAGGCTCTGTGGGAGTCCAGTGCCTTAACCACTGCGCCACCTGCCAGCCCAGTAATCTGTGTTTTAACAAGCCCCCTAGGAGATTCTGATGAAGGTGGCAGTTTAGAAGCCACTGTGCCAAGGAGTCTTTGGTTCACAGTCCACAAAACCAGCGCTTGGATAAGATGTGGACCCACGGGCCGGCACTGCACACTCTCGTGGCCCTCCCAGACCACCAAACCCTACCTTGCTTTGCAGACAGGACTCCCGTCAGAGCACTGCTGTTGGATTTACCCTGGCCCTTTGAGTTTTTCCGTCTCTCGAGCGCGTTCTAAAGCAGCATGGGGAGAAAATAAAAATCTCTGTCAGAAAAACCAGTCGTGGAGAAACACCTCGTTACGGTAGATGTGTCCTCCTGTCAGCCCAGGAGAACCCGCTGTAAACTCCAAATGCTGGCTCCAAAACCATTCACGACGCTGAGCTTCTGACCAAGAGCTATGATTCTTAGAAACCTAGTAAAGAGGTATTGTTTAGTTTTTGCATAGCTGGATGATGACAATTTCAGCCTCCCCTCATAAAAGGTGCTCAATGAATGTTTGTTGAATTAAGTCAAATTTGAAGAAAAGAACACAGTTTAGCATGTGAAGTCACCAGTTATGAAAATCTCTACTGAAGACACGTGAGGCGGGGAGCTGGTTCATTTTCATGTCCTGATGGTGGTATCTGGGTGGATTCTGTGTCTGGGCTGGAAAGAGAGCCACGATTGATTAGTGATGTCTGCTATGGCTGATCGATTAGTGATGTCTGCCACGGATACAAGATTAAGAAAGTGCATGCGTGCCACCCACATATCATTCCTAGCAGCAGACTCTTGCATCAAAATTGATACATAGTATATAGCCAGGGCTTGGCACACAGAACTGAGAAAAAGTTGTTAAGCAAGTGCACCCACGCATTTAAAAAAATTATGTATTAAAAGCTGTACTATTCTTCGGCGGCATGAATATATATAGATTGGTGTAAACTAAAGCATGGCCCCCACAAAACAGAACAGCACGGAGACTTCTGAGAACAAAAACGAATGCCAAAAGCCAGGAAATGAGTAGTTTCTCCCAAGCTGTAAAACTTCACCCTCAGGAAGAGAAATCAATCTATTTTCAAAGCAGAGAGACCCAGGAGATTTTTCTAATTATAACACTTACAACTAACATCTGCAGAAATAGATATTAGCCAACGAATGGTGCTGGAATGAGACGACGTAACAGTGGGGAGAATGAAAACATCCCGTCCCTTTCGGTGTGACGTGAACATCATCGTGCAGCTTGCGGCTGCCCCATCTAGGCTTCCGCGCCCCTCGGAAACCATTTCCTGATAAATGAGTATAGGGCGCATCGCATCTGATGACTGAACACGTTATGGAGAGAATGGGTAAGAAGCCTAAGTTCCTCTGCACCGAGGCTGCAGAGTGGACGAGGCTGACTGCTGGTCTGGGTGCAGAGGGAGCTCTTGCAAAAGCTTCTGCGGTGGTGTTTGTTGTTGGGGGTTCGACTTTATGGGTTGCCCCCATTAAAGCTCTTACTGGACTCTCTCTGGGAGGGCGGGCAAGTCCTAAGACAGCTTTGGCACATTAAAGAGAATGAAAACAGAATGGCGTGGGAACCAGCAGTTAGCGTAATGGCTATGTCGCTGGACTCCCACGTAGTCGACCGCGGTTCGTGTCCCGGACCCGGTGGCTTAAAACTCACGCCGGGCGCGTGTGCGTGCGTGCCCAAGATCTCAAGAGGAGAATGGAGGAGAAGGGATTGCGGCGTGACCATCCCCCCTGGGGGGTGATTTCTCACTTTCTGTCTCTATGTCTCTCTCTGTCTGTCTGGCGAGCGCACGCGCCCTACAGTGAAAATCTCTCCAAAAAAAAAAAAAAAAACCAGAATGGCGTGTGGCTGCACAGCACCGAGGCCCCCCCCATCCGCGGCGGCACGCCTGGCTACCTTGTATTTGGCGATGTTCGACTTCAAGAGGTTGACCTCTTCCTGGAGCTGCTTCAGTCTCTCCTGCAGGTACCTGGGGAAGGACGCAGAGCTGACAGTGTGGGGGCGCCGAGGGAAAACCACGCCGCGCAGTGCTGGGGCCTCGGAGACGTCAGGACGTCAGTTTGTGTCTTTCTATGCAAAAGGACATCATGACTCCCACCACCCGGGGTAAGGGGAAGGGAGGAGAACCTTGTGCCAGACATTCTTGCACACACGGCCTCACCTCCTCTCCACAGAGGGGGGCAGGGAAACGTGCATGTCTGTGACCTTGCCTTAAACGGATGCGATCAAGGTCGAACATGCCCGAATCACAGACGCCCCCACTTTAAAACACCCTCGCAGATCCCCGCAGGGGGATCAGCACGGTTTTCGCATAATTCTCATTAAGATGATTCCGCCGGGAGCGAGGCAGGAGGAGGCGACCCCAGACAGAACATTAAGTTAGACGCATACACGCTGAAATCTGCCTGGGGGAAAGAAACAGCTCCGGGAATTTCTCAATTTATTTTCTTATTCTTCGCCTTCTCCTTGATAGCAGTAACAAGCAGCTCTCACGGGTTCCTCCCTCTGGCCCCACCAGGGAGGCTGTGGGGAAGGGGAGAAGGGGGTATGTACGTGGCCATGGAGGCCTGTGGTGCTTCTCTTCTCCCGGCTACACCCGACATCGATCTCATCGCTTTGGAGCTGTGACTTTCTTTCCACTTGTCAGACAGTTTTCTCAAACGCAAACAGGGCTGCAGATAACGCCCAGCCTGTAGGGCCAGGAGAGCCGCGTCCGCCCAGCGCAGGCGAGAGCCTGGCTACTTGCCTGTTCTCCATACACAGGGCGTCCACGTCGATGATCCGGTTCTCGTGCCCACCCAGGATATGGTTGAGCTCCTGGTTCAGCCTCTCCACTTTGTCCTGGTAGGAAGACCCCTCTTCCTTAACATCCTGAAGCTCATCCACAGAGGCCTGCAAGTCGTGCTCCAAAGACTCGATCTGAAACCACAGCAAGCGCCCTTACTCACAAGGTTCTTCGAACGGCAGCTTTATAGCTGGAGATGGAGCATTCTGCTTGGTTGGCTGGCTTTGTGAGAGCTGATTAATACCATCCGCGTGCTACAAACCCATACCCATCACATGCTGGAATGCAACAAGGGCTAAAAGCCGGGGGCTGCCTTCCTGCCAGACACTTACCGTACCTAAGCTAGCAGAGCCGAGGTGGCTTGGGAGGCCAGACCTGAACCCTGACCCGCTGGAGCACGCTCTGAAGATGCAGGCTCACAGGGGGCCAACCCAGGACTTGGCAGTCGGCTGCCAGTGTCTTGCAAAGACACGCTTTTTCAAATTCACTCTAGGCCCAGAAATCTTGTTCTGCTCTTCAAAACCAATTAGTCAGAGGAGGAAAATGAAGTCTGGGCTCTCTTAGCTGCTCCCTAACTAGGGCTCGGTATCCGCTGAGATTCTGCCTAAGAAGCATTGCTCAGCGTTTCGGCAGAAACTTGCAAATTAAGGCCAGTTTGTCACACTTTGTTCCTTCCTTGTCTCTCTGGGGTAGAAGCAGAGCTTCCTGTGTTCAGGACTGGGGCACCTAATGTAAGGGAGCAGAATCCTGGGAGCCGGAAACCCAAGAGTCAGTGTGGGGACGGGGCAGAGCACCCAGGAAGTGAGCCTTCCACTTGTTCCTGCCCCACCCCTGCCTCTGACTTGTTCCCTGGAAGCCCTGTCCTCTGAGGACCAGCAAGTACAGTCTGTTTTCTCTGTCTGTGTCCAGCTGTATAAATGCACCCTGCACCCCCCACTCTTCACGTCTCCAAAGTCCATTTTCTTTCATGAGTAAGAAAGACAGAGAGACAGAGAGACACAACAGCTCCCCAGGCTGCAATCCATCCCCAGCCCACCCTGGATTCTGGGCGCATGCACATGCAGCACAGTTGGGGAAGTCTCTGGACACAAACCTGAATGTCTCCACAGAGGTCAGCCTCGCAGGGCACTGGGCTGCCATTGCACCAGCGCCCGCCCCCCACACCCCACCCTTAACAGACAGGAG